GCGGCCGCGAGCGGTTCCAGGCGAAGCCGCACCTCCTCGTCCCAGGCCTCAAAGAGCATCGCGTCGACCCCGTATGCGCCGCCGCAGAAGTAGATCTCCAAGACTGTATGGGAATGCGTTTTTGTTGCTCTTCCTCCGGCCTTGGTCGAGAGCGCGGCCTTGCCTGCAGGCTTGCATGTCTTGCACAGTGCTTTGGGCGCAGACGCCAGCGCGGACGATTGCGAGGCGCTCTGCTGCGAGTCGCTCTGCTGCGAGTCGCCCGCAGTCAGCCGACGCTGCGCCACGGAGAGGACGCGCCCGACCACAAATTTGCCTTTGGGCAGCGGCCCGGCTTTGCGCAGCGCGCGCGGCAACATGTGACCCTGACTGCGAGCGGACATACTCATGCCCCGAAATCTTGGGACCGACGGGCAAAAGACAAAGTGGAGATTCGGGCGGTGCCTGCGGGTTCCGACGGACGACCGCGGACTTGAGCCGAAATGCAAGCGCCAGCGATGACTTGCATGCGACATCTTTGATAACGCCACGCGGGCGACACAGGGCCCGACGGGCGACCGCGCCAAAGAAGACATGCGCAACTCGCCTCTCTAAAGCCAGAGGCGAACAAGTTGCAAATGAGAGGGGCCGACGGGAAAGCTCTTACTGGAGCTGGCATCGACGACGATGAGAGAGAGAGAGAGAGCACAAGGGAATACCCCGCTCAGTGAAGAATGCCGATGTCAAGGCTTGGCGCAGGAAGAATTACATCACCGCGCCGCTCGGATAACACGGCCGCACCGTCACTCCTCAGCATCCCGCGCCAATACTGACATGTTTACCTGCGGCACTGGCCATGCAAGAGGCCCGGCAACAACCCGAGCGCTCCGGGGCGTTGCCTCGCGGCAATGAGAAGCCCGTGGACAGGCGGAAATGAGCCCGAAACGAAAAGTCAATGAGTTTCTGCGTGTCCGGGGGACGACCACCGACTGGAGCCGAAATGCCAGCACAAATGGCGACTTGCATGCGACACGTGCGATATCGCCACATGGACAAAACACAGCCAAACTAAATATGGCGAAAGGAATCGAAAACAGGCGGAAAAAAAAAACAAACAAAAAAAAAAGAAAAAAAAAGGAATCGAAAACAGGCGGGCCCGAACGACAACCGCGCTGCGATGTCAAAAAAATATCTGCGGGCCCGAAGGCCAACCGCCCCACATCTCAAACACTATCTCAGACAATGTGCAAGTGCGAGGGTCCGATGGACAACCTCCCGCTTGAGCCAGGATGCAAGACCTCTCTGAGACGCCGGAGATATACTCCAGACGTCCCAAGCACCTCCAAGAGCACTCCCAAGAGGGTCCCAAGAGGCATAATTGATTGATTTTCCCTGGGTTGCAATCTGATTTACGCGTTCTCGCCTTTTCAGCTTCCCGACGCTTCAAAACAGTCCAAGAGGCCCTAAATATCAACCAGACAACACGAATTGCACGGTGTGCGGGCCCGTAGGGCGACCGCCTCGCAGCTCGAGCACGATCTCGGCAAAGATGCAAATCGGAGGGTTCGATGGAAAACCTCTCGCTTGCACGGTGTGCGGGTCCGAAGGTCTCGTAGTTCCTCCTCTTGCCGCCTTTGTCGTCGTTCTCCTCCTCCTCCTCCTCCTCCTCCTCCTCCTCCTCCTCCTTCTCCTGCTCCTCCTCTTCCTCCTGCTCCTCCTCTTCCTCCTTCTCCTCCTCCTATTCCTCCTCCTCCTCTTCCTTCTATTCCGTTTCCTCCTCCCCCTCCTCCTCCTCCTCCTCCGCCTACTCCGCCTCGCCCTCTCCCTCCTCCTCCTCATGCTCCTCCTGCTCCTCCTCCTCCTCCTCCTCGTCCTCCTCCTCCTCCTCCTCCTCCTCCTCCGCCTCCTGCTCCCCCTCCTCCTTTTTCCACTTGGCCCGTCCAGTATCCCAGTTGGCTCCCGTCACCTCCAAGGCCTGTCACCTGTTAGCTCCGAGGCCTGTCACATGTTAGCCGTGAGGCCTGTCACCTGTCAGCCCCGAGGCCTGTCGCCTGTTAGCCCTAAGGCCTGTCACCTGTTCGCCATGAAGCTCGTCGCCTGTTGGCCGCGAGGCCTGCCACCTGTTAGCTCTGAGGCCTGTCACCTCTTAGCTCTGACGCCTGTTGCCCGTTAGCCCTGGGCCCTGTCACCTCTGGCTGGAACGTCGTGGAGCCTTCTGGGAATTCGGAGCTCGCACGACGAAGAAGAGGAGGAGGAGCGAGCGAACGAGAGAGCAGCAAGAGAATTCGGGATCCTCTTCTTACGGTCTCAGGGCTCACAACTGGCCTTCGGGGAGAGACCGCAGACTGTCACAGTGTGTCCCTGAGCGCAAGGAAGAGAGAGATGGATATATAGAGAGCGAGAGAGAAAACAAAAAAGACACAAATACCATAAGCTGGCGTGCAAGGAGACGCGATCGATCCTACGGCTGCCTGTAACGCAGCCGTGGCAAAAGTGACCGCGCCACCAGTACGAAGAGGCGAGCAGACGTGCATCGTTGCTAGCTCGCGGGATCATCGTTCGTCGTCGACGTCGTCGTCCGTCGTCGTCAGTCGTTATCGTCGTCGTCGTCGTCGGTCGTCGTCGTTGCTCGTTGTCATCGTCGGGATCGGAACGGAGGTATCGGAACCCCCAGAGGCCCAACACCATGCGAAGACATCTGTCATGGGAAGCTCCCGGAGGCCCAACACCGTTCGAACACGTCTGTCCGAGGAAGCCCTCGTAGGCCCTACACCATGCGAAAACGTCTGCAAGGAAAGCCCCCAAATGTCCTACACCATGCGCAAACGTCCATCCACAGAAACCCCCGGAGGTCCTGGACCATGCGAAGACGGCCGTCCAGGAAGCCCCCGGAGACCCTCGTCATCGTCGTCGTCGTCGTCGTTGGTCGTCGTCGTTGCTCGTTGTCATCGTCGGGATCGTCGTCGTCGTCCTCGTCGTCGTCGTCGACGTTCTTTCAAGCATGCAGCGCACCCGAACGTTCGGCCCACAACCATGGACGCTGATCACGCTGGGGCTCACTCGGGCAATCTCAAGCTTCCCCAGAGAACCGAAGGACCCCAAGCCCCCGGAAATACCCACAGGTAAGCTCGAGAGTCTTCTTCCAGAAATGCCCACGGAAAAACTCGAGAGCCTTCTTTTGGGGTCGGCGGCAGAGGCGGCAGTCTTTGATAGTTACGCTGCCTCCGCCCCCCCAGGGCCACATCTCTCGTAAACTACGCTGCGTCCGCGCTCCCAGGGCCACGATCCGTTGTAAATGAAGCTGCGTCCGCGCTCCCAGGGCCAAGATCCATTGCAAATTGCCCTGCGTCCGCGCTCCCAGGGCCACGATCCCTCGTAAACTACTCTGCGTCCGCGCTCCCAGGGCCACCATCCCTCGTAAACTACGCTGCGTCCGCTCTCCCTGGGCCACGACCCCTCGTAAACTACTCTGCGTCCGCGCTTCCAGGGCCACCATCCCTTGTAAATTATACAGCGTCCGCGCTCCCAATGGCGTCCGCACTCCCAGGGCCACGATCACTTGTAAATTACACGGCGTCCGCGCTCCCAGGGCCACGACCCCTCGTAAATTACACGGCGTCCGCACTCATAGGGCCAGGACCCCTCGTAAATTACGCTGGACTTGCGCTCCCAAGGCAGCGATCCCTTGTAAATCACCCTGGATTTGCGCTCCCAAGGCCACGATCCAACGTAGAGTACGCGGCATCCGCGCTCCCAGGGCCACGATCCCATCCCTCGTAAATTACGTGGCGTCCGCGTTTCCAAACCCGCGATCCCTCGAAAATTATCGTGGGTTTGCGCTCCCAGAACCCCCATGGGTATCCTGGAGCGCCCAGGCCCATCAATTGTTGCAAAACGAGCGCTTCCCTCGAGACATCCCCAGAATTTCTGCGCGCAGGACGCGCCATCCTCGAACGGGCACTCAAAAAGTCAACACGTTCACAGTTGTTGTGTCCCTGTCGGGGCTCCAGACTTCGTTTGTCCTCGAAGATTCTGCTAAAAATGCCCTGCACTTTTTCCCCCAACCCTCCTGTGTTGGTTCTCGTTTTGAATAGAGCAGTGTGTTCGCCCCGTCCTTCCTCCTCCCCTCCTCCCTCCTTCCTTCTCTCATGTTCCCTTTGTTCCCATCTCCCCCTCTCTCGTGCCGTCCGGCTGCGATCTGCGCAACTGTCGCCATTTTCGTGGCTCCTGGGAGGCCCAGCGGAGGTACGCCATACGCGGACCACCTCGGGACCTCGCCGCCCCCTGGGGGGCTTGCGATCAGCGCAACTGTCGCCACTTTCGTGGCCTCCTGGGAGGCCCAGCGGAGGTACGCCATACGCGGACCACCTCGGGACCTCGCCGCCCCCAGGGGGCCTTGCGAGCTCGCAAACTGGCGTCACTTTCGTGGGCTCCTGGGAGGACCAGCGGAGGTACGTCATATGCGGACCACCTCGGGACCTCGCCGCCCCCTGGGGGCCTTGCGATCTGCGCAACTGTCGCCACTTTCGTGGGCTCCTGGGAGGCCCAGCGGAGGTACATCCCACGCGGATCACCTCGGTACCTCGCCGCCCCCTGGGGGCTTGCGATCTGCGCAACTGTCGCCACTTTCGTGGGCTCCTGGGAGGCCCAGCGGACGTACGTCCAATCTTCACCACCTCGGAACCCTCGCGAGGCCTCCCTGGGGGGCTTGCGATCTGCGCAACTGTCGCCACTTTCGTGGGCTCCTGGGAGGCCCAGCGGAGGTACGTCCCACGCGGACCATCTCGAGACCTCGCCGCCCCCTGGGGGGGGGGCTTGCGATCTGCGCAACTGTCGCCACTTTCGTGGGCTCCTGGGAGGCCCAGCGGAGATACGTCATGCGCCTCTGTGCTTCCACTTTGTATATTTGCCGTTAACCTTCTTGCTGCTCTCTTCTGAAATCACTGCTGGGTGCTCTTCTTGCGCACTGCGGGTCCTTCAGAATGCCAGTCAGCATTGCGTGGTCCTGAGTATAATCGCCACATGTATAGAGAGAGTTGGGTACGTCACAAGGTCATTACAAGGGAAAACGGGTGTCTGCAGACCCCATTATTTGTCGAGGATCCGAAATGGGGTGCGCACATTCCTCGAGCGGGCGCGCGCGAAACGTTTATTTTCCACGCCGAATTGGACTTGACCTCATTTTGTATCGAACGGAAATCCACTGGGCCCCCTTCAGAATTGGCACCGGGCACATATTACCATCCTAAAAGAGATTGGCCCACGCCGCTTCCAGGAAAAACGCAGCGCGTGCGCCTCCAGCGCAAGACACAAAGCGAACCATGTAAATCGCAAAGGGATTTACCAAACACGGGTGCTCTGCCTTTGAGAGCCCCAGCATGAAGCGGTCATACGATCAGTTTGCCCATAGTGAGGTTGGTGTGGCCACTGGGTGATACAGCGGTGCCAGAATTCGATGTCCCCGGCGCGCGAGGCGGAGTATCGAGCATCGAGCTATCCGAAGAAGTCGCTAAGGAAAGAAATCGAATGCGGCTTCGCTGCTCAACCTTGCCAAACTGCTGTGGCCGCATTGAAGGAAGGGAGGCAACTGGCAACCGTTTATGACCGCCAGGCGCAAGTGCTGCGCTGAACGTCTGGCAAACTAATGGGTACGACGTTGCGGAAGGGGGAAGGGGGGAACAGGGACGGAGCCAGCAAGCAAGCAAACTACACTGTGCGCTCACATAAGAAGACAGTGCAGAACAAGCGCGGTGATCACCGGACGTAAGCAAAAGCACGTCGGAGCTGGCGACACTACGTCTGTCTGTGGAACCCACGACATTGGAAGGTCGGCCGTCATGCTGCTTAGAATGTTGCTGGCATCGCTTGAACCCAAATCGCCCGATGGCGTGCACGCAGGGGGAGCCACCACGGGCGCAGTATAAGAGAGCGACCCCAGACTCGCACACCTAATCCGCCAACGCACCCTCTGCGCGTTGGAGCGCGGTAGAAGGCTCGGTACAGTAGGGGCCCGACCATAAGAAACCTTCCACAAGAAGCCCAACCATGAGACCCCAGGGCGTCCATGGGTTTTTGGCGTGGGAGCGTCACGCTGTCCGTCGCAAAACCATCGAAGCCCACGAAACCCAGGGCCCCCTGCAGGCGAGCAGGGCGTTTCTTGATATGGGCCCCCACTGTAGCTGTCTCCTGAGATGTTCGCACATTTCCAGGGTGGCGCCCCACTCACCCTGGCAGCGGAACGCGTGCAGAGTCACCTCTCTCTACGTTTCGCTCCGGGGCGCTCGTTTCGGACCCGAGACGGCTTCAAAGAAAGCCCCAGAGCCCCAACAGAGACCTGCGGTAAAAAACCTGGGAAGCGAAGCATGGAAAAAAACATGATCGACCCACGAACCCGTAAAGGAATATAGAAATGTGAGACACGGCAACGTTCTCAAGACACCCGATTTGGCGACGGGCGATTGCAATGCTGAATGTATCGATCTTGATGTACCGTGCCAAGAGCTGTGCTGTGCTGCGCCGTGTTGAATTGTGATGTGCCATGCCGCGATTGTGCTCTATAGCGGTGTGGATCCAGTCCTCTTTTGCATCCGAGTCCTGACCGAACTGATCTGGATCTTGAGCTCGAGCTGCCTGAGCACACAGTAGCTGCCCCAGAGCTAATTGACAGGGGGACATGCCAGGGGGACGCGCCGCGGAACGTTCAAAGGGACGCGCCAAGGGACGTGCCAGGGGACGTGCCGAGACGCACCGCGGGACGTGCCAAGGGGACGCGCTACGGAACGTGCCAGGGGGCGCGCCGCGCGACTTGCCAGGGGGACTCGGCCACGAAACGCGCCACAGAACGTGCCAGGGAACGTGCCAGGCGACGCGCCAGGGAACGTGCCACGGGACGCCCCTGACCCAGGGCCAGGATCCCTCGTATATTACAAAAAGTCCGCGCTCCCAGGGCATGGATCCATCGTAAAGTACGCTGCGTCCGCTCTGCCCGGGCAACGCTCCCTCGTAAACTATGTTGCGTCCGCCCTCCCTGGGCCACGACCACTCGTAAACTACCCTGCGTCTGCGCTCCCAGGGCCGCGCTCCATGGTGAATTACGCCGTGTCCGCGCTCCCACGGCCACGTTCCCCAGTAAACTACGCTGTGTCCGCCCCCCCCCGGGCAACGATCCCTACTAAATTACGCTGCGTCCGCGCTCCCAGGGCCACGATCCGTTGCAAATTAAGCTGCGTCACCGCTCCCGTGGCCACGATCAATCGTAAATTATGTTGCGTCCGCACTCACAGGGCCACGATCCCTCGTAGACTACGCTGTGTCCGCGCTCCCAGGGCCGCGCCACCCCCCCAAAAAAAAATGACGCTGCGTCCGCGCGCTCCCAGGGGCACGTTGCCCAACATATTACGATGTGTCCGCCCCCCAGGGCCACGATCCCTCGCAATTCAAGCTGCGTCCGCTCTCTCATGGCCACGATCCGTTGTAAATTAAGCTGCGTCCGCGCTCCCTGGGCCACGATCCCTCGTAGAACGCTGCGTCCGCTCCCCTGGGCCACGATCCCTCGTAAACTACGCTGCGTCCGCGATCCCAGGACCATGGTCCCTCGTAGAGTACGCTGCGTCGGCGCTCCCAGGGCCACGATCCTCTGTAAAGTACGCTGCGCCCGCCCCCCACAGAGCCACGATCCCTAGTAGATTACGCTGCGTCCGCTCTCCCATGGGCACGATCCGTTGTAGATTAAGCTGCGTCCGCGCTCCCAAAGCCACGATCCCTCGTGAACTACGCTGCGTCCGCTCTCCCTGGGCCACGATCCCTCGTACGCCACGCTGCGTCCGCGATCCCAGGACCACGGTCCCCCGTAAAGTACGCAGCGTCCGCGCTCCCAGGGCCACGATCCTGTGTAAAGTACACTGCGAGCGCTCTCCCTGGGCCACGATCCTTCGTAAACTACGCTGCGTCCGCGATCACAGGGCCACAATCCCTCGTAAAGTACGCTGCGTCCGCTCTCCCTGGGCCACGATCCCTTGTAAACTACGCTGTGTCCGCGCTCCCAGGGCAACAATCCCTGGTGAATTACCGGGCGTCCGCGCTCCCAAGGCCGCGCTCCATAGTCGATTACGTGGCGTCCGCACTCCGAGGGCCCCGTTCCCAAGTAAATTGCACTGCCTCCGCCCCCCTAGGGCCACGATCCCTAGTAAATTTCGCTGCGTCCGCGCTCGCAAGGCCGCGATCCCTGGCAAATTACACGGCGCCCGCACTCCCAAGGCCGCGATCCCTCGGAAAGTGCATCCCTTGTAAATTACGCTGGATTTGCGCTCCCATAGCCGCGCTCCCTCGCACATTACGCTGGATCTGCGTTCCCAAGGCCACGATCCCTCGTAAAGTAAGCGGCGTCCGCGCTCAAGGGCCACGATCCCTTGTAGATTACGCAGCGCCCGCGCTCCCAAAGGCGCGACCCCTTGTAAGTTACATTGGCCCTGCGCTCCCAGAACTCCCTGGGCATCCAGGAGCGCCCAGGCCGACACGAAAAAGGTCAACAGTTTCACATGTACTTCCCCGTCGGGGCTCCAGATCTCGCCTTTTCTTCCAGATTCTGCTAAAAAGATGCCCTGCACCCTTCTCCTTCACGAGGGCCGTCTGCAGGCCCCGTTATTCATCGAAGATCCGAGATGGGGGGGCGCGCTTTCCTCGAGCGGGCAGGCGCGAAACGCGTTCGTTCCACGCCGAATGGGAGTTTGTCTCGCTATCTATCGCACATAATTTCGCCGGCCTCCTTCAAGCATGGCACTGGGGGAAAACAAAATTATCCCAGAGCGACCCGACCTAGGAGTTGGAGCCCCGAGGAGAGCAATATTAGCAGTAACGGTAAACGCCGTCCTCCTCCTTCTCCTCATCGTCGCAGTTGTAGCAGTAGCGGTAGTAGTAGTAATAGTAGTGGTAGTAGTGGTAGTAGTAGTAGTAGTAGTAGTAGTAGTATAGTAGTAGTAGTAGTAGTAGTAGTATTAAATAAAGTAAGTAGTAGTAGTAGTAGTAGTATATAGTAAGTAGTAGTAGTAGTATAGTATAAGTAGTATAGTTTAGTAGTAAGTCAGTAGTCGTTAGTCTAGTATATAGAGTTAGGTTAGTTTAGTTAGTTAGTTAGTTAATAAGTTAGGTAGGTCGACAGATCGGTCGGTTAGATAGTTTAGTTAGTAAAGTAAGTATAGGAGTATGTAGCAGCAACAGCAGCAGCAGCAGAAGATAGTTAGTAGTAGTAGAGAATATAGTAGGTAGTAGTAGCTAGTAGTAGTAGTAGTAGTAGTAGTAGTAGTAGTAGTAGTAGTAGTAGTAGTAGTAGTAGTAGTAGTCGTAGTAGTAGTAGTAGTAGTAGCAGTAGTAGTAGTAGTAATGGTGGTGGTGGTGGTAGTAGTAGTAGTCGTAGAAGTCGTAGTAGTAGTAGTAGAAGAAGAAGAAGAAGTAGCAGCAGTAGTAGTAGTAGTAGTAGTAGTAGCAGTAGAAGTAGTAGTAGTAGTAGTAATAGTAGTAGTAGTAGTAGTAATAGTAGTAGCAGCAGTAGGAGTAGTAGCAGTAGTAGTAATAGTACAGCGTAATACCAGCATCTACATCTAGACCTACATCCACATCTAAACCTACAGCTACATGCTACGATATGCTATGCTGAGGCTAGGCTAGGCTATGCTATGCTATGCTGCGCTATGATATGCTATGCTATGATTTGCTGCGCTATGCTATGCTATGCTATGCTGCGCTATGCTATGCTAAGCTAGGCTATGCGATGATATGGTATGCTGCGCTATGCTATGCTATGCTATGATGTGCTGCGCTATGCTATGCTATGATATGATATACTATGCTGCGCTATGATATGATATGATGTGTTATTATGCGCTATGCTATGCTATGCTATGGTATGCTACGTTATGCTATGATATGATATGCTATGCTATGCTATACTGCGCCGTGCTATGTTAAGCTAAGCTATGATATGCTATGGTATGCTATGCTGCACTACGCTATAATATGCTATGCTATGCTATGCTATGCTACGTTGCGCCATGCTATGCTGCGCTATGATATGGTATGGTATGATATGTTATGATATGCTATGCTATGCTATGCTATGCGATGCTATGCTACGATAATGCTGCGCTAAGCTAAGCTAAGCTGAGCTAAGCTAAGCTAAGCTAAGCTAAGCTAGGCTAAGCTAAGATGAGATAAGCAAAGCTAAGCTAAGAAGGCGCAACTGGGGGAACCGCGGGGCGGATACTGGGGGAACCGCCCGGGGCGCGTTCCACTGACTGCCCGGCCCCTTTAAGCCCAGAGAGTAAGAACCCTTCTAGACAGAGCCTAGGTAGGGACCTAAAGAAAAACCTGGGCCCGAGCCCTTTCCGGGAAGAGAAGACGGCCTCAGAAGGCCCTAAATCCAACCAGCCCTCTGGGCGCAGGTGGTCTAACGAGATTATTTGTCCCTCTTCCAAAAAAACCCTCTTCCCCTACGGGGAGGGGTTGATCACTGTTCCCTACACGAACCCGGAAAGGAATATAGAGCTGTAACGCATGGCAACGATTTCAAAGACACCTGATTGGGTGACGGGCAAATGCAATGCTGAGTGTATCGATCTTGATGTACCCTACAGAGGGCTGTGCTGTGCTGCACCATGCTGAAGTGCGAGTGCCATGCCGCGATTGTGCTCTATAGCGTCGTGGATCGAGTCCTCCTTTGCATCCGAGTCCTGACCGAACTGATCTGGATCTTAAGCTCGAGCTGCCTGAACACGTAGTAGCTGCCCCAGAGCTAATTGACAGGGGAACATGCCAGGAGGACGCGCCGCGAAACGTCTCAAGGGACGCGCCAGGCGACGTGCCAGGGGACGTGCCATGGGGTCACACCGCGGGACGTGCCAAGGGGACGCGCTTCGGAACGTGCCAATGGATGTGCCACGGGATGTGCCAGTGG